TTGTGGACTTAGTATTAATTGATCCTGTGTGGACTTTGAATAATTAATATGTATTTGGACTTGTTATTATTTTATCGTTTGTGGACTTTGAATAATTGTCAATGTAGACTGAGTATTTTTGTCATGTTGTGTGGACTTAGAATAATTTGTATCCTCTGTGGACTTGTAATAATTGTTAATGTATGTGGACTTGGAATAATTTATGATGTTTGTGGAGTTAGTATTATTTTAGCCTTTGTGTATGTGTAGTTGGTATGTTTGTGGACTTGTTATTATTTTATCGTTTGTGGACTTTGAATATTTTGTGGATATAGAAAATGTTTTATCGTCTGTGGCTCCGTATTAATGTATTACGTCCGTGGACCGGGAATAATTTTGTATCGTGTGTGGACTTGTAAAATTTTTCATTGTTTGTGGACTTAGATAAATGTTCATATGTTGTGGAGTTAGTATTATTTGAACTTGTGTGGACTTGTAATAATTTTCAATGTTTGTGGACTTAGAATAACTTTTAATGTATGTGGACTTTGAATAATTGTCATCGATTGTGGACTTATTATATTTTTGATGTTTGTGGACTTTGTATTATTTTATTGTTTGTTTTTGTATTTGGAAATATTGTCATTGTTTGTGGAATTAGAAAAATTTTCATATGTTGTGGAGTTAGTATTATTTTATCCTGTGGACTTGTAATAATTTTCAATGTGTGTGGACTTGGTATATTTTTCATATTTTGTGCTTTGAAATATTGTCTTTGTTTGTGGACTTAGTTTTTTTTCCTCTTGTGGAATTGGACTAATTTATGTTTGTGGACTTGGAAAATTTTTTTATCCTTTATGGACTTAGAAAATTTTCATGTTGTGTGGACTTAGAAAATTTTCATGGTGTGTGGACTTAGTATTTTGTTGTTGTTGTGTGGACTTCGTTTTTTTTCCTGTGTTGTGGACTTAGAAAATTTTTCGTTGTTTGTGGACATAGAATAATTTTCATGTTGTGGACTTAGAAAAATTTTCATCCTTTGTGGACTTAGAAAATTTTTCATGGTGTGTGGACTTAGTATTTTTTGTGGTGTTGACTAAGTATGTTTTTGGTTGTGTGGACTTAGTAAATTTTTCGTTCTTTGTGGACATAGAAAATTTTTCATGTTGTGGACTTAGAAAAATTTCATGGTGTGTGGACTTAGTTGTTTTTGCTGTGTTGTGGACTTAGAATATTTTCATGTGTGTACTTGGGTTTTTTTCATGTCATGTGGACTTAACAAATTTTTCGTTCTTTGTGGACTTAGAAATTTTTCATGTTGTGTGGACTTGGTATTTTTTTTTTTGTGGACTTAGTATTTTTTCATGTGTTGTGGACTTAGTATTTTTTTGTTGTTGTGTGGACTTAGTTTTTTTTCCTGTGTTGTGGACTTAGAAAATTTTCCATCCTTTATGGACTTATAATAATTTCTTGTGTGGACTTAGAAAATTTTTCGTTGTTTGTGGACATAGAATAATTTTCATGTTGTGGACTTAGTTTTTTTTCATGTCATGTGGACTTAGAAAATTTTTCATCCTTTGTGGACTTAGAAAATTTTTCATGGTGTGTGGACTTAGTATTTTTTGTGGTGTTGACTAAGTATGTTTTTGGTTGTGTGGACTTAGTAAATTTTTCGTTTTTTGTGGACATAGAAAAATTTTCATGTTGTGGACTTAGTTTTTTTTCATGTGTTGTGGACTTAGTATTTTTTTGTTGTGTGGACTTAGTAATTTTTTGTTGTGTGGACTTAGTATTTTTTCATGTGTTGTGGACTTAGTATTTTTTGTTGTGTGGACTTAGTATTTTTTTCATGTGTTGTGGACTTAGTATTTTTTTGTTGTGTGGACTTAGTATTTTTTTCATGTGTTGTGGACTTAGTATTTTTTTGTTGTGTGGACTTAGTATTTTTTTGTTGTGTGGACTTAGTATTTTTTTCATGTGTTGTGGACTTAGTATTTTTTTGTTGTGTGGACTTAGTAATTTTTTGTTGTGTGGACTTAGTATTTTTTTCATGTGTTGTGGACTTAGTATTTTTTTGTTGTGTGGACTTAGTATTTTTTTCATGTGTTGTGGACTTAGAAATTTTTTCATTATTTGTGGACTGTATATTTTTCATGTATGTGGACATAGAAATATTTTGAGCATAATAAAAGAAAGTATATAATCAATGTCTTTATTTTTCCTAAGTTAACATACAGCCATATTGGATTTGTAGAAGCAAAGCATGATGTCATAGAAAACGGTAGTTTTGGAGCCAGAGAAATTTCCCATTTTCTTTGATGGTTTCCCATTTTCTTAAGTTGAACAGAAAACGGGATTTTTTTCAAACTCGCTATCTTTTTAAGATAGGTTCTGGCAGCCCGTTTTTTATTTTTAACTGTTTTAAGTTAGTATTTTAATGTTTTGTTTGCAAACTGACTTGAACCATATTGTCAATACTGACAATAGGTTTAGTCATAAAGCTCTCTCGACACAGATATCGTGTCTATGGACTAGTCGTGTGATAGATCGACAATGTCCGAGCTTTTGTTTGCAAACAAACATCAAAACACCAACTCACAACCAATGAGGAATAACTACTCTCTCTCAGTTGAAAAATCACCTTTGTTGCTCAATAAACACTCTAAACAACACCACATGTGTTCCCGTGTACCTGTCAGAAAAGGGAGAAACAAAAACAGCATTACAAGTCAAATTATTCAACACATTAACTAATCTCAATGATGCTTTACTTATCATATTACATCAACTAATCTCAATGCATTTCAACATCTTTACTTTACATATAATCATATTACATCAATGATGCGTTTCAACATCTTTACTTTACTTTACATATAATCATATTACATCAACTAAACTCAATGATGCATTTCAACATCTTTACTTTACTTTACATATAATCATATTATCTCAATGATGCGTTTCAACATCTTTACTTTACTTTACATATAATCATATTACATTAACTAATCTCAATTCTTCACACATTACCTTCATGTCGCTCCACTTCTTCTGGTGCCTAATCACTTGTCGTCGTCATCTTCTACCTTATGTGTCACTCAAAATGCACATCAGGCAATAAAGAAAACACAAAATTCAACTCAAATACATATATTCTATACACTTAGCAATATAATACAGTACAGTACAGTACATCATCTTCATAGGGACAACACCTATGCATTCACAGAACATCATCTTCTCGGCTCCATACGGCTAGAAGTTCACGCGACATCGTCACAGACACGACAGCTATACATTCACTGGACACCAGCTTCTCGGCTCCATACACCCCGGTCAATGGCTATACGTTCACAGGACATCATCTTCTCCCCTCACTGGTACCACGGCTATTAGGTTCACAGGACATCTTCTCGGCTCCAGTCACGACACCTATACCTTCACAGGACATCATCCTCTCGGCTCCATACACCCCGGTCACTGGAACACAGGACATCTTCTCTGCTCCAGTCACAGGGACAACAGCTATACATTCACTGTACACCATCTTCTCGGCTCCATACACCCCGGTCACTAGAACCACGGCTATTAGGTTCACATGACATCTTCTCGGCTCCAGTCACAGGGACGACGGCTAGAAGTTCACGGGACATCTTCTCGGCTCCAGTCACAGAGACGACAGCTATACATTCACTGGACACCATATTCTCGCCTCCATACACCCCGGTCACAAGGACAACGGCTAGAAGTTCACGGGACATCTTCTCGGCTCCAGTCACAGAGACGACACCTATACATTCACTGGACACCATCTTCTCGGCTCCATACACCCCAGTCAATGGGACGACGGCTATACGTTCACAGGACGCCTTCTTCTCGGCTCCAGTCAAAGGGACGACGACTATACTTTCACAGGACATCATCTTCTCGGCTCCTTACAGCGACTTGGCCAAAGCGACTTCGCCCCGTCGCTTCAATCTGAAACCGACAAAACACAACAATGGAGGTCAACTCGTAATGGCCTTTTCTATCAAATGCAGTCCACCCGTCGGCTTCGTCACTCGGGAAACTCTTCTTATACTACCTACAATATACACTTCACGGCCACACTTCTAGGCAAACTATCATTTCCCATTGCTCAAATAATTCACCCACAAAAACACTATATCTTGGTATGGAGCAACCTCCGCGGTTATTCCCGGCTCCGTCGTCGACGTGCCTCTTCCTTTCTTCGCAGCACGTCCTCTTCGTAACCGCCGAGATAAATGCACAATACTTGGTCGTCTCCTTCCTTACTCTTACCACGAGGAACATACCCTACACCACTCGCTCCACTGAAAAAAAAACATCCATAATAAACACCATTCCAAAAAGGTTCATGCATCCACTCTCCTTCACGATCAACAACACTCTCTTAGGCATATCTACCAAAACCAAATTGCTTCCTTTTAAACCGCTACAAATACCAACATACACATACTCTACTACAAACCATTCACCAAGGCTAGTACCAATCATTACACAGCCTCCAGTGTGTAACAACAATACTAGCCTGCTACCAACTAACTTCAATACAAACCCACAACAAATTCACATTTCATCTTAACCAAATTCAAACAAACGCTTCCTCTTTAACACAAACAATCGGCTCCTTACCCTTTCGCTCCCATCTCCGTCGCCGAATAACCACTGGCTCTTCCACCATCACTGCCGCTTACCATTCCAAAAACTCCAATCCGGCCTAAAAAACAAACACATCAACACATTAGTTCCCCCACAACAATTCATAAACCTTTCACGCCCTAAACCGCTCCAACGCCACTCACCAATTATATATATATATGCCTCTACACTAGTCGCAACATTTCTATTACCTGCTACATCCATTCTCCACATATACTAATCCAAAACTAACCTACAATTTACATCACTATACACGTCTTCCAACAATTACATTAGACTCAATTTCTTACAACTAAATTCACTATGACCCTAAACTATCACAAACAATTCACGATGCACCACACCACACTACTTATCTTAAACAACTGCCGCCACTGCTGCTACCGCCGCCGCCCCTGCTGCTGCTGCCACTGCTGCTTCTTCTCCTCAACACAGTCCATTGCACAGCCCCATACATGTAGTAGTCCACCCTTTCTGCAACCTGGTTACGGCACTACCCACCACCACTCCATCCTCAAACCTGAAAAACAGAAACCTTTCACACAACCTCCATAATGCACCATACTTATTTCTCCCAACTTTAAACATCAATGGGTACTGCTACCCGAAAAAACTCCTATATCACTTGCCTCTTATAACAAACTTTACCTACAACTTTCAAATACAATAACAACTCACCTTCAAATAATACATTGCACAATTTCACATCACCGTATCCAGTGTCGACGCGCTCCTCTCCACAATTCGCCCATATTCCTCCACCACCAACATGAAAACAAAAAACAATACGTCAATGTTACAAATGCTCTACTCTTCAAATTATAACAAAGTATACGTACAACTTCAATAAACAATACTTACACATTTACTGCCTCTCATTTCCAAAATTCAGTCAAGCATTAATGTCCCTCTGGATTATCACACACCAATCACGTCTTCTGGACTGCAACAACTCCTGTACAAAACAATTACCACATCAATAACCACGACCAAAGTCCCTCTTCATTTTCATATCAAACACACCCCACCTTCAACCACTTAACAGTATACATTACCTTTTAGCACATGCTGCACACGGCGACTGGTTACAACATCGACTTCTCCCCCACCTCTGGATGGCGACCATACTTCCTCTTGGTTAGTCGATACAGTCAACACAACACTATATTCTACTCCAACATTTTTCGATTTCTCATTATCACACTTTTTGAGAATGGGAGGGGCCGAGGGGCATCCCCCCCCTTATTCCCATGCAAGGTGAAGGGCACAAGCGCCTACACCGCCCAACTAGGCAGCATGCCAACTTTGTGCTTGCCTAAAGGATCATAGCATTTTATGTCAAGGGCATACAACCCTCCAGTCTTTAACATTTTGTCGGCTAGCTCCGACGACTTTCCCCAGATACGAATTCGCAACTTTCGATTTACAACTGGTACCTACTTTACTGCTAGGTCAACAGGGACACAGGGGGTCTAGGAAGTGTGTCCAACCCACTTTCCACCGGCCCGGGAATCGAACCCGAGACGTCCCGCTTGCGAGGCGAGAGCGGTACCGCTCTACCGCCGGCACCCCCACTTCGGCTGTGACCCCTTGTGAGGCGGGCGTCAGTCAGCTATGGGTACGGTTCCTCGACTAAGTAGTGCCCTTTCACAGGTTTATACACCTCACTTATGTCTCCCCGTGCCCATCTCTAGGCACTTTTGGGTGCACTAGAGAACCACCACCTGAAAAAAAAAAGGTCATTCGTTATCCATTTATCAAATCTTTCTCACTACTATATAATAAACTCAACTTATCAAAACTCATTTACATTTTCTTTAATCTACAGCCGAGGCACAAAATTCAACATTTTAAACTTAACATTACCAAACTCAAGCCACAATCATTTATTTTAATGTCAACTTTTAACATTTCTATTGCTCTACGGCACAAGACCAAAAATCAATTGAAAATTTAACAACTCTTTTACAAACTTCAACGTCACTTACCCTCACTATTCCCCTAGTCTACCTCAAAAAAATACCGGCTCCTTCCACCTCCAACAACAACAACCTGAAAAAACCATTTATTACCTAACCAATAAAACTTACACTAATTCTCAATACAAATATATTAGCCATGAACCACTTCTCATATTACAGCTACAACTTCTCTTTAGTCAAACACAACTACACCTTCCATTTTAAATACCATATTGACGAATTCCTCACCGCAAGTGTAGACGCGCTAGCCATCACCTACAAACTTAGACCACGTTCTCTTCTCTATTCCACAGTATAAGCCTTCCGTACACCTGCAATAAAAGGCATCAACCTCCAAAATTTACAACAAACTAGTCAAAATTAATGAAACAAAAGCACATACACAATAACAATTAAGAACACTCTAGTCTGCGTATAAAACTAACACATGAACCATAACAGACGACAACAAAATACGACCATAAACACACACAACCGAGAGTGTAGTACCATTATATAGCCTCCAGTATATAACAGCACAAACACAACACCCATTCAACAATTTCATTCACCTAAACTCGGGGTCTACCTCTGTGCCGGTCACGTCTCTGCAAAAATCAACCTTTCCCACGCTAGTTGGCTCCAACTTAACGCTCATGCGGCAGCCCACTGCGACTTCCTTGCGGTTGCTATTTTCTGA